TCGCCGGAGAGATAGGCCGAGTGGCCTGAGGAGCCACAGTAGCTGCGGGCTGAGATTGCAGCGTAGGGAGTACCTGTTGCAATCCCGAGATGAGGGCGCCAACCGACGCAGAGGGATCCATCATCAGAAGATTCTGGAATAGTGGGATCACCTGTGCGGACGGCATCGCCGCTGCCACCTCGATTGAGCGAGATCTGTTGACGAAGATCTGGGGAAGCACGCTGGATCTGAATGCACGGATCGGCAGAAGTTCCAGCAACTTGTTTTCCCCTAGCGGCCCTCCTGGCATGAGAAGTAGCAGTAGCTTCCAACGAGGGTTCCACCTGTGCGACGGCGGCAACAACACGTCGACTTCTCAGAATTCTCTTTCCAACCATTGTTGCAGAAAAGGTTAGCTATAGATCTAAAGAGAATCGGGAGGATCTTGTAACACCCCCATTTTTCTCGCCCAAAATAATACTTGAAATAATAATATATTGATAACAACCTTGATTTATTTCTTGAAAATAGATAGAGTTTTGCAGCGGAAGTAACAATAATGGAAAAAGGGTGTGTTACCGCTACACCCAGCCCTCAACTTGACTGGATGTTAAGGCTATTCACCATGAGTTCAACCGAATTAAAAACTTAAATTCAAAATTTAATAACATTATTTAAACTAAGTGAAGACTACACTTAAATCTTCTAAAGCACTCTCAAGGCTCGTCAAACATCATGAGCTTCATATTCATCATTACCTGCACAAATAAAGTGCAGAAAACGAAACAAAGAAAAGGAAACAAAAATTAGCTTTAGAACTAAGTAAGTACTACCCAACCCCGTAAAATATTCAGGTTTGGCGAAAATAATTTTTCATATAATACTATATAAAAATACTCACACCACCGAAATTCTTTTCAAATCAAAAACATCATTTATCAACTTTATAATCTCAAATACCCTTATAATTAAAAATAATATTTATAAGCTCCCAACAATTAATTAATATATCAAAAGACGTATCACTTTTCAAAAATAACTTTTGTAGCTAAAAATATCACCATTCCAAAATCAATGTCACTTTCAGATTCTTTTAAGATGGGCGAAAGTCAAGATTCATCGAGCCCAATGAATCGTTGTTGTGTACGACTTATCCCGGAATTCCGGCTCCCACCGACCACCAATTGGAAACTGAACTTCACCCTTAAGTGTGCACACCCCCTAAAAAGGGTTCCAAGCCCTCCGAGTAGTAAGAAATCCAAGTAGTTCAGACAACGTCCAACTACCTCACAATGGGTTAGAAACCCGGGTGATTAGAAACTACTACCGCGGCCACCAAAGATCTGTTAAAGTTCTCAAAAGAAATACCGGGAATCTCCCACCACCAATATTTACCGGGATTTCTCCCGCCACCAACAATCAACCTAAACTAAACCCGTGGTGTATAGATCTAACCACCCTCCACATTTATCCGGATGTGGAAAACCGACACCACAGATTACTCCCGGGTGCTCAAAATATTCATAAATCGTTGATTAAAATTTGACAAAATATTTGATACCACACTTTCCAAAAATAGCATCTATAACCACCACCACTAATATAGTTCATATATTACTCCACTTGTCATTATGAACATGTAGTTCATAGATTACACACAAATCACTTAACTTTAAAATACTCTCATAATATTTCTTTCATATTCATGTCTCAAAATCATATGTCAAACATCTCCAATTCAAAGTCGAAGTTCACAATTTAGGGTTTATCCAAAACTAGTTCCAAAATAGTATTTAATTCCATATTCAAAATAATCCAATAAGGATATTTATAACTCCAGAATATATATTTAATTTTTCATACCAAATTTTCATACCGAAAATTTGAGAGAATTTGAGAAATAATTAAAATTGTGTTTCATATCATTTAGATGGTCTTTAGGTAGTTTATTATGGTTGATTTATTGTTTGGGATCAAGGGGAGGTTTAAACGGGGAAGAAACGGGGCAAAAACTAAGGTTTGAGGCACCTGGGGTCACGCACGGCGTGCGTGGCGGTCACGCACGGCGTGCGTGGCAAGAAAATCAAGCGGAATAGCTACTGCCAGCCACGCACGGCGTGCGTGAAAGGTACGCACGCGCGCGTCCCTGCTTTATCGTAATGCGACTCAAACTTCGGAAATTCACTATAAATACATGCCTAATCCGATTTTCCTCATTTCAAAAACCCTAGGACCGTCTCTTCAAGCTCTATCTATTCCAGATCTTAAATATTAACATAAACAACACGATTTTTGAGTCCAAGTACGTGATCAAATAATCCAATCTTCCGGTAAGTACGTTTGTTGCCTAATTCACACCGTGTATCCGTTTTCTTGATTTCTTTCTCTTAAATTGTGATCCTTCGATCCTATCACTTCCTAGGGACGTGTGAGTGACTCATCAAGCTAGGTTTCACGTTTAGGATTCTTTGCTAACCTTGAGGTAAGGACTATTGCAACCAAAACTACTATTTTGCCCCTATTATGTATTAATTAATGTTTGTGCTATGATTTGAGTTTCTTTCTGAAAATTTATGGATATTTGGGTTATTATAGTATAGATATGATGATGTATAATTTTCTGGGAATTTATGAACGTGTGATTTTTGGTGAATTTATCAAATCAGATTGTTATGGCTAAATTGTGATTTTTGAGGATCGTTCTTTTGGGATTGGAAAATTTTGGTGATCGTTTTGGTATGAGTTGAAGTATGATTTGAGACTATTATATTTGTTTATATTGAAAATATATTATGGGTTTAGAATACCCCAATTGGATTATTTTGGTGGTGGTAGTAAATGCTACTTTTGGTAAGTGGTTGTTTGGGTTAAATCCTCTTTTTGGAAAGTGTTGCGAGATCAAATCTTTTGGGACAAACTATATATTTTTAAATGTATAATTTGGTATGAAAATTTACATATATATTCTGGAGTTATAAATATCCTTATTGGATTATTTTGAATATGGAATTAAATACTATTTTGGAACTAGTTTTGGATAAAACCTAAATTGTGAACTTCGACTTTGAATTGGAGATGTTTGGCCAGTGCTTATACCGTGGAACCGGTGCATGGTGAGCACCATTCACCCTTTGTTATTTTTTATTTCTCCTTTTCTTAAAGTTGTTAATAATTTTTTTTATTTTTGATCCGATTTTTATAAAATTTATATCAAAAGTTTTTATTTTTCATGATCTTTCAAATGAGACCAATATTGCCTATGCAATTTTAATTTTTTACATTCATACATTTTTGTAATATATTTTTATGTGCATACACTTTTTCTATAATATTTTTTATCACTTTTATATGTTTCTAGAGGTTTTTAAGATATTGAGTTTGTTTATTTTGCTTCTAGATTGGAGTTACATTTGATGATAATATACGAAGTTACATCATCTTATACTCCAGTTACATGTTATTATGTGTGAGTTACATCTTGTTATGTGTGAGTAACATCTTGTTATTATGTGTGAGTTACATCTTGTTATGTGTGAGTTACATCTTGTTATACACGAGTTACATACTTTTATGCGCGAGTTACATGTAATTATGTGTGAGTTATATCTAATTATTTGTGATTTTTTACTTATCTTTATCTTGAACTAATTCAATTATAACTGAATTAATTTTTTTCTTTGCAAATATAATACAAAATTTTGTTGATCCACATAAAATAAGTATATTGTATTTCATATTCATACACTATTTTTCAAATGATAAAAATGAAAGATGTAGCAGAGGTTTATGTCGTGGTGTAACTCACATACATTAAGATGTTACTCGCGTATATTAAGATGTAACTCGCGTACAATAAGATGTAACTCGCGCAGAAGAAGATGTAACTTCATGATATATTATCAAATGTAACTTCAAAATAATTTGTTAAAATTACATAAGCAATATTGGTCTCATTTGATAGATCATGAAAAATACAAAAAATTGATATAAAAACTTATAAAAATCGGATATCAAATAAAAAATTTATTACAATTTTTAACAATAAAAGAAATTAAAAAATAATGGAATGAATCCATTGCAGTTGCGTCATTTTGAATAAAGCCAACGTCGTTTTGCAACCGGGCGCACCATCCTCATGGGCGCACCATGTTTGGCATATGATTTTGAGACCTGAATCTGAAAGAAATATTATGGGAAAGTATTTTGAAGTTAAGTGATATGTGTGTAATCTATGAACTGCATGTTCATAATGACAAGTGGAGTAATATATGAACTATATTAGTGGTGGTGGTTATAGATGCTATTTTTGGAAAGTGTGATATCAAATATTTTGCCAAATTTTAATCAACGATTTATGAATATTTTGAGCACTCGGGAGTAATATGTGGTATCGGTTTTCCACATCCGGATAAATGTGGAGGCCTGTAACACCTCGGCCCCGTAGGCACCCGGATAGTTACTCCTGACCTCTATGGATCTCTAGTACTGTCCTCACAAACCACCACGAGCCTTTACCGCGCACTTTGTGCTCACTCGTGTGCACCCCGAGAACCTTCCCAGAGGGTCACCCATCCCAAGACTACTCCCATGCAAGCACGCTTAACCTTGGAGTTCTTGGGTGATGAGCTTCCTTAAAAGGAGATGCACCTCTGTTGGTATAAGTAGTACTATTAATCCTCTTAAATTAATCTTGGATATTACAGACCTGACCTGTTCACAATTCAACTCTCAACGAGAGCACCAAAAAATGATGGATCGCCGGACCGAGGGTGGTCGGAATCCAACTAAAATGAGAGTAAAGGGGAGAGCGAACTGATCGGAAAACGCAAGTATTTGATCCGGCAGAGTATGAGTGTTAGAATGCAGTTGATCGATTAAGCACCGTTCCTATCCACAAGTTGGAAGGTGATATTTATACTACGGGAGAAAAGGCAATACTTGGTGCCCAAGTAAAAAGATGCTGATCTAATGAAAATGGATCAGCCCGCCGGGTGCTCAATATTATATTCATATCCTTTCTATCAGCCCGCCAGGTGCCTCTTTCTTGACCCTAAATTCGACTGCAACAAGCTCTATCTCAATTATGCCTGGAACTTTGACTGTTTTACCTTTCCCAGGTTATTAATTCCTAATTTCATTAATTAAATGATTATTTTTTCTCTATCTAGCTGCGAAATATCTCACTTTATCTGATGTTCTGGTTAGAGACAGTCGTTTTGTAAGCTTAAAAATTAAAATTTGACAGAAGCTATGCATGAAATTTTAATATATTCTGACTGAAATAAGTAATAAGTAATATATCCTTGATTGTATTTTTGTAGCATAATCCAACCGAATTTTATTTGGTGTGGTTTTGAAACGGCTTCACTTGTGTAGGTTCTAATCTCTATGATTATGAAGCCTTGTCTAGGAGCATGCAACCTGAAACATTGCCTTACACAATGATGGTCCAACTCTAAGTGCTTGATTTGTATCATATAAACTGGTTTTTGAGGAGTGTGTTGCTTTGTAGTCATAATATTGTGTTTTAGGCTGAGGCACATAGTTTGATCTAGCCATATCATTATAGGTCACTAGTGATATGTGACATGCTTATATGCTCGGCTTCAGATGATGAATTTGTTAGTGTTTTTTTATTTCTTACTTTTTCAGGATATTGACATATATTGCTATAATGACAGGTAAGTTGTATATGCATGCTTTGATAATAAATTATTTCTTGTGTTTTATGACAGGTAAGTTGTACATGCATGCATGCTTTGATCCCTTAAATAATTAATAACTCTTGGCATTCATATTTTGATTTAATGAAGTACTTTCTCCTGGGCCTGAAGTAGAGCCATGTTTTAAGAAGTTTTCGGGGCTTTATACAACTCATGTTTCAAAAGGCCACTTCAAATTCCCCAGAATCACAAATCAGCTTTTCTTGTTATCTTCAATTTTTTACAGTTTTCTGAACTCGAAATGGTTTTGGGGTGGCAGTATCACGGGAAGTTCAATGGTGGAGTGTGGAGAAGAAAAAGGTGGTGATTGTTGGCAGAGGAGTTGGAGGCTCTCTCTTGGCATATACCCTCAGAACTATAGTGATGTTTTCCTCATTGATTCGTAAGCGTCTATTTTGTGCCTTTTTATTATCAGCTTTTGTATGGAAATATGAATTTCAAATAATCAAATTAGAGCACGTTTAGCGTTGATAATGCCGATTCTGCTGAATTTTCTGAACTCAAAACCCTTCTGTAAAATCATCTTCACCGAGTAAGTTAGTCATAAGTAAATTTGTCACAAATTTTTTTTGTAAAATCAAATTCATCTATTAAAAGTTACTTAGTATACTTATGGTCTTATTCAGATGATAAGATGAGTTAAAAGTGCTCTAAACTTAGTTTCTTCAGTGACATTTTGATTCATAGTTTACTATGTGTGTTCAAATGTAGGTGTTTGTCTTGATCAATGAAGTTTCTCATGCAGATGTGCTTTTATATTCTCTACTGCATTGTGTTTGTATTGTTATGGGTGAGTTAATCAAACTCCAAATTACTACCATGACAGGAAGGAGTATTTTGAGATTTCATGAGCATGATTAAGATCAATGGTTGAGCTGTCATTTGGAACAAGAACAGTGATTAATCACTGTTAGAATATTATTTTATTGTGTTCAAATTAATTGTAATTTAATTAATGAGTCTTTGTATTTTAATTAGATTAGGTGAGAGAGAATTAGGCCTATTTAATCTGGCTCTAATAAGCCCACACGCCTAAGCTGTTTGTTTCCTAATTAGAATAGGCAGTTCGGATATCTCTCCTATAAATATAGGTTGAGATGGCCGAATCTGGTCTACAAGTCTCTACACATTCTATTCCGCATATTATTCTCTGTAGAGTCGGTAGACTAGAATTTCTCTCTCAAGCTTAATCGTTCGAGTACTGTGTAATTGTTCTTCATGGATACATCATTCTATATACACGGTATACCTTATTGATGAAATTTCTCTTCTACTGTTTTAAATTCTATTCAATATTATTAGATTATTCGACTGTTGTATCTGGGCGTATCGCACACAGTACAATCACAGCGATTACCGTCACAATGCATTATTTCATCTCCAGCTATCGACAAGGCCAATGGATTGCATATGATTATCGTGTAGTTGCCACTGGTCATTTAGACTACTACATTGTAGGACATGAATGGATGTGAATTACTACTGAGAATAAACTTTGGTATCCCTATTTTGTTCCATTTCAATGAATATTTGATGTTGTATTGCCGTAGTCATTTGAATACCTTTTAAATAGAGAATAACGTAACGTTGACTAAAGTAAATAACTTTATTAAAAAGAAAATTAGAGGCGCTTCTGAGCTATAAGCGCCGCAAAGAGAAATTAAAAAATAAATTAGTATTACAGGCACTTTTTAACTATAATCGATGCACTCACGAAAAAATTAATAATTTAGTGGCGCTTTTCGTTCAATAAGCGCAGCAAGTCTGGTTATTTTTTACGATTTGGAGGCGCATCTTATTGAATAAGCGTCATACGCTTTCGGGAATAAATAAAAATAGATAAATGCAGAGGCACTTCCCAATTAAAAAGCGCGTCTCATGATGATTTGCGGAGCAAAATTTAGAGGCGCTTTAAATCTTTTTTTGGTCTGGTAACGACTTTGACTAAAAGCGTCTCTGATAACGAATTTGACTAAAAGTGCCTCTGATTGACGTTTTAGTCAACTTTAGCATATTTTTTATCGGCTCTTGCCAATGCGGTTAATTCTTAAACTCAAAGTCATAAATCGAATCACCTAAGTTGAGTCAATTTTGGTTAGTTCTTATTTTATTCAATCCGATTTTGGTTAGTTCATTTTGATCGACTTGTCGATCAATTTCACCTTATCCCTTTTTATTCGGCCATAATGAATAGTAGGTTGCACCAAGAGTTGTATAATTAGACGGACATTTTTGTACTTTAGAAGTTAAATTAGATGAAGAGGAGTCTTGGCGCATCGATTAACGTGTCATTGTGTGATCGAGAGGTCACGAATTCAAGTCTTGATTTCCACCTGTTGTCAAAATTTGACAGAAAAATGTTTACCCTTTATACACTCTTGTGGTGCGACTCTTCTGCAGATCCTCGCCTTGCTGCAATGCTTTCTTGCACCGGGTTGCTCCCTTAAAAAATTAAATTAGATACGTAATATTATACAACCTCCGTTTAAAGTTAGGGTGAAAGAAAATATTTTTGATAGTGTAGAAATATACGGAGTACATGATAGTATACCAAAATATACCAAACAATGAAGGTTAATGATATCTTCGATTTAATTCAATGATATTTCCCTTTATAAATATCAATTTTGAAGACTCTCAAGGTGGGTGCATCCTTTTCTCTTTACATTATGTCTTGTGAGCACATCAATTATGTAAATTTTGAAGACTCTCAAGGTGGGTGCATCTTTTTCTCTTTACATTATATCTTGTAAGCACATCAATTATGTCACGAGAAATGGCCTCTCCCCAATTCAATGGTTCACATGCCAAAACTAGGGGTGGACCGGTTCCAGATCGGGCCCGGTTCGGGCCTGAGCCCGGCCAGGCCTCGGTTCATGACATGGGAGGCCCGGAACCGGTCCAGGTAACCCCCGGGTCCGGTCCAGGCCGGGCCTCGGTTCATGTAATTTTTTTTTGGCTTTTCCTAATTAACCGCCAACCCTCCTCCTCACCCCCAAACCACCCCAAACCACCTCAAATGGCCCATCATACCCAGCCCAACCCAAAAACTTAAAAAAAATCAAAAAAAAAAGAAAAAATAAATAAATTGTCCCGGAACGGGCCCGAACCGGCCGGGCCGGTTCACTATTTAGCGGGCCCGGGCCCGAACTGCATACCGCACCGGGCCGGGTGGCCCGAACGGGGCACCAACCGGTTCAACGGGCCGGTCCGGGCTCGCACAGTAGCGGGCCGGTTGGCTCGGCCCGAGTCCACTCCTAGCCATAGGCTTGGATTCGGTTCGGGCCACCCGACCCGTGACTCGGCCCGGCCCGCTACTGTGCGGGCCCGGGACCGGCCCGGTCTGGCGGTCTGGGACCGGGTGTAGACCCGAACCGGCGGGGATGGACGGGGCGGGTACGGTTCTTGAAAAAGGTGACCCGGCCGGGTCGGGCCCGGGCCCGAGTCCAACGGTCCATTTAAAAAATATGTTGGGCCCCAAACTAGGCGTTATGGCCTTGAGGGGTGGGATGGGACAACCCAAACGGCTATATAGTTGTTGGGTGGGGTGCAGGGGGGGTCCGAGGGGTTTGGGGGTGGAGGGTGGGAGGGGGTGGGGGGTAAAAAAACCTATAAATACTCCTAATCTTAAACATTTTTTCCACATCTCTTCTCCAAATCTTCCTAAATCATATTCTTAACTCTCTACTCTCTAATTCTCTTATTCTCCAATATATTATATTTATTATTTATATATCTACTTTATATTAATTATCTACTTATAATTTATAAATACATACATTATAATATTATATTACTTATATTTGTTATCTATGGAAAGTCAAGATGCCCTTATACGGTATAATTTTGATAAGCAGAAGGACCCGAAGACCGGGATGTGGTACGCAACTTGCAAATGGTGCGGGAAAAAATGTAGCATGGGGGTTTCAGGCGGATACGGGATGACAATGAAGCATATGAAGTTATGTGACAAAGACAAAGGATCGGGAGGTGCGGGAAGTTCCGATTGATTACAATTTACAAAATGTTTGTCTTTTGATGTTTGTTTTAATTTTCAAATGTAGTTCCTATTTCATTTCAAATAAATGCACTTGAAGTTTGTTTTTAATACTTGTATAAAACTATAAACTATAAAATATAAAACAAAAAAAAATCTTTAACCGGCCCGGCCCGGCATGTGGCCCGACCCGTGATCCGGGCGGGTTGCCCGGCCCGAACTGGACCCGTCCAACCCTCGGGCCGGTCCCGGGCCCATATGATACAAACCGGCGGCCCGACCGGGCCTAGGCCCGGGCCCGAGTCCATAACTACCTAGCCAAAACTTGCACATACCCTCACAGTCCACTCCACTCACCTAACGTTTTGCCCATTCATGTGCAGAAGATGTTTTCCCACATGTTTCTATTACTCATCATCTTTACCTTTTCCAGTCGTTAAACTTTGATAGATGATACAAAGATGTTCTTCGTTAAAAGTACCGTCATAAAAGTACAAAGTTTATAAATTTCACAAAATACAGCTCTTATGATGATCAAAGTTTATCATCATGCAAATGTAGAGATTATTGTCCCCACTATTTGAAAGAGTCATAACTCATAAATTATCAACATTCATAATCATCAAGATCTGGGAATGTGTAAAGACCAAAGGTCATTACAGACCTAATACATTTCATTGACCAGGCACAAAAGCGCACACCCATACATCTATATAATATAATATAATATAAATAATATAATATACCTTTCAACAAGTTCTTGACAAAAAAAATAAGGGCATATGAAGGGGGGAAGACATTAGGAAACAGATGAAATCCATCCATTGCAGCATAAGAAGCTTAAGGAGAGACTTCAAGCCTTGGTTCGAAGCAGAATCCAGTAAAGAGTTGAAGATGAAACCTTTTAGACACTGGGCATTTCAACGACCACTTCCATTGCTTCTGGCTCAAGTCAAAAACAAGAAGAGCAGGTGCACCGTAGCTCTGGATGTATAGCATCTCATCACTGCCACTGCTCGCAAAAACATCATCGAACTCCCCGAAACCATGGAAGAACCTAGGCGGCATGCGCGCAATCTCTTCCCACTCCTTCCTGCCATTAAGACCCCATATCCCAATCCCCTTTATAATATCAGGATGGTCCGGTTTCCCGATCCCTCCTACCATTATCAACCTCTCATTAAGGTTCATCAACCGGCCACAAGTAAGGGGACACGGGACCGGTAAGAAACTACTCATCAAGTAACCGCGGGTCGGTCTGGTTCTCAGATTATTATATGAAACCAGGCCGTGCCGGTTGTCTGGAGGACCGTCTCCTGTGGAGTAGATCAAGAAATACAAAACCCCATTGCAAATTACACTCTCATCCCCTGCTCTCCACCCTTGTAATGTTTCTGTGAACGGGGTTACCCAAGTCATTGTTTCCGAGTCATATATGTGGATGGAGAGGTCCCACTGGTAGAAGTTTCCGGGTACCTGTTCAGATTTGACAACTGTCACGCTGTAAGTCACAGTGCACCTGCGAGGTTTCCTCTCAACAGAGATTGCCAAAGCGCTATAGTCCGAAAACTTGAGAGCTGGAGTCTCCTCAAGCTTCTTGACACATTTGGTTATGGGGTTACACACACACAGCTGGCTTCTACTGTCATTGTCCATAAAGCAAACTAATCCACAAGATGAAGAAATGACACAATTCGAGGTCTCAATGCATGGGAGTTCAAAACGGTACCACTTCTTGAGGATGGAATCATAGACATAACCAATCGGCTCATCTGAGTTTGTGAACATAAAATACCAAGGCTTTTTAGGCGGCACCTGTGAGAAATTCCATAAAAATTGCTTTGAATTCACTATATCATGCCATCTTTTGCAGACACAGCCTGCCCTAAACAGGCTGGCAATGGGCATGCAGGCCAGAATCCGCTCCAACAGATCATCGGGCAGTATCAGATCAACAAGAACAATGGGCCCACTGCTTTCGTCATCGAGCTCCGATGATGATGAATCAAACTCAATCCTATCTTTTACAATGTGGTCATAGCAATGGCTGACCCATGATGTTTCTCCTTCCATAATATGAAATAGGAGCGAAAACCTAAACACAGAAAAAGTTACTGAAAAAAGAAAAATATTCACATTAATTAGCTATACTGACAGATAGTTGAAAAATAAAACCACAAATGAGGTAACATATTGTTAATCATGACAATGTTCAAGCTCATCCGTTTCAAAATTTGAAAAAAGGAAGGAAAAGGGTCAAATAAGTCCTTCTACTATATGAGAACCATCACTTAGGTCTATGTACTTAAATAAGTGTCATATGCATCTGTTTACTTGTAAAAAAAGGGTCATTTAAGTCACATGACCAGAAGGTGACCGGTTGTAGCAATTATTTTTGCTTATATGGCATTTTGTTATTATTTCTTTCCAATTTTCTTTTCCATTCTTTTACTTTCCTTTTCTCTTTGCTTTTCCCTTTCTTCCTTCTTTGTCTGTTGTTTCTTAATTCCACCTTCCTCCATTGAGGATTTCTTTCGACTTTCTTTACCTAGTTTCAAGTCTCCGGCAAAATTACTATCTTAGTTTTAGATAATAAACACTCCCAAAAAGAAGATGTAGGCTAAGAGTGGATACTGAGGTTAAGTGTTGAATATTCGGATACATAGCGCCGCTTTGACTTGGCCAGAATTCATGGTGGGTGAAAATGGTGATCAGATATGTTTGGCCAGAATATTCTAGTAATACTGGAATATTACTAATATGTCCCCTAAGATCACAGATTCACCTGTGTGGAGAAGAATTTGTAATATTCATGAATTAGCAACTTCCTTGTGTGATGAGAGCTCACAGGATTGTGTTTGGTTACCTGAAAAGGATGGGCAGTTCTCCTTTAAATCTGCATATGAATCGATCAGATCAGAAAAAGCTTCAACCTCCTCATTTAAGCATATGTGGCACTCCAGGCAGACCTTGCAAATTAAGCTGCTGCAATGGAAAATGTTTAATAGATTTCTGCCTTTTAATGACAATATGCACAGATTTGGTTTGACTATCAATCCATCTATTTGTCATTTATGCAGGAATAACAGTGAATCTATGAATCATGTCTTCCTACAGTGTCCAAGGGTGAAAGGTATTTGGACCTATTTTATGGGGATTCTCGAAATTCCAAATTCAGGGGTGATACGTTCTATCAGACAGATCTTTATTACATGGTGGTTTAACGCGGGAAGTAAAACCTTGTTGGATTGCTTCAAGCACAATCTGCCAGGAATAATTTGCTGGCACATTTGGAAGGCTTACTCAGCTTATGTTTGGGGATCGGCCAATTCAATCCCCTCTATGGAAAACCTAATCTTTCAAATTAAGCTATATACTCAGAATTGGGTGATGAGCTTCAAGACAATGAGATTAAATCTGGGAGACAACATCCTCTATGAAGAAGGCCTTATACCAAAAAACTTCAAACTAAAGAATAGCTCCTTAAGAATTATCACATGGTGCAAGCCACGAGTAAAGATGAAACTCAACATTGATGCTACGTTCGTACCTGAAGGCTCAGCAGGAGGTGCTATTATGCGCGATGATAACGGTCAGCTAGTTTTCGCTCTAAGTTTTCCGATGATTGCGGACTCGGCGCTGATAGCAGAAGCCACCGCCTTGGTCATTGCTACTACTTGGGCTATGGAAGCTGGTTATGCAGGGTTTCAGGTGGAATTTGACGCTGTGGAGCTGCTAGAGTATATTTCGGACAACGAGAGGATAAGAGGATTAAATGGGTTTCAGGAAATGAAGATGGCTGCCTTGAGGAAAGGGGTATCCTTTGGACAACAGGGGAATTGGACGGCCCATTTTCTGGCAGAACTATTCCCGGCCCACTTTACAATGTTTAACCATATTTCCTCGTTACCGGATCGGGCTAAGAAGGCGTATTATCTTCATTTTTTTGGTATTCCCGATATCAGATTGTATTAATTTTTATTGTTGGGTCAGGTCTAGCCCCCCCATAATCTTTTTTTATTTCTTGCATCGTTGTATTTTTTAGGAGGTATGCCTCCTGGGTAAAGGTTTTGGCCTAGTCTCCCTTTACTTTTGTACTTTGCTCTTTATTTTAATAAAATATCGGTAAACGTTCTCCGGCGTTTGCCCCACCGACTTAGATGGTTTGCCTACCGGGAAAAAAAATACTCCCTCCGTCCCGGTCATTTCTTCCAGTTTTCCTTTTTGGGCCGTCCCAATTAATTCTTCCAACTTTCCTAAAAAGGAATTCAACCCATACTAAACACCCTATTTTACCCTCCCCAATAAAAAAACCTTTCCCATTCCCCTTCCCTTTTACCCGTCCGCATCCCTCTCTCTTTCTCATTTACTCCCACCTGCATCCCTCTCTCCCATTTACTCTCACCGCCTCCTCTTTCTCTGTCACTGCATCCGTCTCTCAATTACTCCAGCCGTCTCTCCCATTTACTTCCTCCATCTCCCCCTCTGTAAATCTATCTACCCTTCCGCCTCTCCCTCTCTCACATTTTTATGGATCTAAACCCTAATACTTTGAGTATGGAGAATATTGAACACTTCATCATCCCTAACAGTGAAGAGGTTGTTCTTCCGGAGGAAGCGGTGACGTTGGACACAGATGACCCTGTATTGGTACTCCATCCGAGGTGCATGGCTCAGAACTCCCCGGCAGAGGATGTAAGCGAGAAGCCTGCAGAGGTCGTGGGGGAGACGATGGACCCAAATCGTCTTAAAAGACGCATAGACATTGACATGCATCCTATTCGGAGAAGTCCCCAACTGGAGGAGTTCCTAAAAATAATTTTGCCAAAATGGAAAACAAGGATGTGGGACGTGGACACATATTAGGGGAGTTTCTTCTATATCTTATCTTCATTTATGGTTTAATTCGTACTCTATGTCCATTGTGTATAATTTGGGGGAAGCAATGATGAAAATTTGTTTTTTGATGTTTATTGTGATGCATGTGGGTTGTACATGGTGGTTTGGTATTATAAATGGTAGTTAGGCATATTGTGATGAAAGTATACCTTGTGTGTACTGGTCCTTTATGCATACTGTCATGAAACTGTCTCTTTGCATACTGTGATGAAACTAGACCTTGTGTGTAATGGTTCTTTATGCGTACTGTGATGAAAGTAGACCTTGTGTGTACTGGTTCTTTACTGCTATGATTGGTTCAATCTGAGTGGTATGCTATGATGAAAGCATTAGGTTGTGATATGGTACTCTATGCATGCTATGATGAACATATGACAATGTTTGGGTAGTTAATGCATACTGTGATGACCATGACCCTCATATGTGGTATTTTATGCATACTATGATGAGCATATGAAAGTATTTTGGTAGTTTAAGCATACTGTGATGACCATGATCATGTGATGTGGTACTTTATGCATACTATGATGACCATGATCAGTACTTGTGTGTGGTGTGTATGCTGATGTTGTAGTTATTCATAAGGTCTGAGTGTGTTGTTCTTGTCCCAAAATGATGAAATCATTATGACCATTGCTAGATCACTATGCTTCTACTATTACAAAATGTCTGACTATGCTTGTACTTCTACAAAAGGTCTGAGTATGCAACATGTATTACAAAATGTCTGAGCATGTTAGTACTAATTCTAAATGTCTGCCTGTCTTGCAAAATTAAGGCCTGTACAAAAAACAAAAAATTTAAGGCCTATTATGTCTGAGACAGAACTTCAATCTTTGCAATTTATTTGCATCACTTAGAAATGGCTTTATTGCATTTGTATGCCTTCTGATCTTACCACTTTGAACCAATCTGTGGACACTTGACTTTAATATTGAGGTGGCAGCTGCCAAGGACCTTATGGTAGCCCTTTTATGCAGTGGGATCTGTGATACTTGAGATAGATCAAATTCTATCCTTTTTCTGCCATGGTACTTCCTACACACATTTACTGCATCACCTTGTACAACTTGCTTTTTAACCGTGTCCCAAATGCCAGAAATAGTTCTTCTGACACTTCATACTCTTCAGCAAGTATGACAAAACTACCTTTCTGAGCTTTCAAGTACCCCAAAGAATCCCTCCTACTGGACATTAAGAGTACATGTGTTATGCACTCTTTTCACTTTTCGAAAGCCTTTTTTCCCCACTGCAGCACCATGACCATCCGTTGTTACTATTTGCAGGTCTAGGGGTCCTGGTGTGGAAGAAGCTGGAGAAAATGAAGAAGAAACTACATATGTGGAAGATATTACAGCCACGGAAGCTGCCTTTTTTGTTTTCAGTGTGCGTGTGTGTGCAGTGTCTATAAGTGTGCGTGTGTGTGGACTGTGTGATGGAAGTGTGCGTGTGTGTGTAGGGAATTAGGAGGGAGTGGTATATGTAAGGAACCAAAAACTAATCTCCCTCCTTTTTTGGATTGCGACCTCTATGTATGCAACTTTTAGACAAATGTGAATAGTCTTTACTATTCACATGTCAATCAATCTACTTTTAATCATTTTCCCACCTTATTAAAGTTTTTACCTCAAATTTTACCCATTCATTTACCCCATTCGGCCAAGGGTATAAGGGGAAAGTCAACCCCTTTATAAATTTGCATAAATATGCGATACCGGTCAAAACCGGAAGAAAACGGGACGGAGGGAGTAACAAACTAAAAGGGAGCGACACAAAGGTTAGGTTTCGGATTCGAATCCCGCCAACTACGATGAGGACTTACTATGCTTAAAATGCATAGGACATCTGCAAGTACCGGGGACGGAGCACCATTCTCTATCTGTTAGATTGGGATTATAGTTCAATTTACATCCTCCCAACGTACCGTTCGGTCGGGGTTGGGGACCCTCAGGGATGGGGTGTGATCCTTTTTTTTTTACAAAATAACAAACTATCGAGATACACCAGCATGGATGTTTTTAATTGCATTCAATTTTTCTTGCTTTGATATAGTCTCATCCCGTCTAGTCTAATTTATATAGATATTGGTCGATCTGATATAGTTTAATCTGATTTAATATATGTCTATTCTAAGAGTATTATAAAAGTTTCGAAGTTTAATATGGTTCTGTCTATTTAAATCAGGCCTGATATGTGACTAAAACCAATGCAATTAAACAAAATAAATAAAATTGAAATTAATATTCCGACTAAATCAGTTGAAGATGACTATTCCAGCCATTTACATACAATTTTTCTTTATTTTATCAAGAAAATATGAATTATATTTTAAGAGCATGTTTGGCAGCACGAAAATCGGCTGTTCTGGCTGATTCTGCTGAAATTTATTAAATTCTGGCTGAAGTGGCTGCATTGGCTGATTCTGCTGATACAAGGAAAAAATATTTTTAAAATATATTTGATGGAGTATATGGCCCGGGAACCCCCGGCCCACAGACTCTTACTACTCCAGCGAAGGCCCAAAAGGCCCAAAAGGCCCAACAGGCCCAAATCACAGCGCCCAGAGTACCAAGCAGTCCGCACTACGCGCCAGGGGTGCCTTCGCCCCCCTGGCCGAAGGCTCCAAATTCTCACAGAACGGGTTTCTCAAGCAAATTAAGAAACTGGGAGAAAACGGCGAAAACAGTAGCCCTCGGCATTGTGAGCCCTCGCGACCAGGGTGCCATCGGGTGGAAGAGCCCTCGGCTACTGCTCTATAGCCGAAGGCATCTCACTCGACAAGATATCCGCCTCACATGCGTACAGATCACCGTACCCCGCATAGACGTCCCATCCAACAGCCGCATTAAATGCGGCCACATGCGGCTGCCAGCGCCAACCAGTTGAGGTGACCCCTCGGCCAATGAGCGCTTGACACGTGTCCCTGCCCGGCATTTATTGCTACTATAAATAGCACCCCATTTCCTCATTTGTAACCACGCTGAAAACGGCATTCATACTAAATACACTCTCTCTCTACTTTTACTCACTTGCTCTGACTTCTCTCTAAGTTATTCCCCGTAATAACCCTTCGGATATATACCCCCGGGTAGACTATCCATCATTTGGTGCTCTCGTTGAGAGGTCGAACAATCAAGTAAGAAACCCTCCCCCTCGATCAAACGCAAAACACTAGCCCTCCATCAAAATGGTGAGGACAACACGTGCCAACTCAAAGAACGTAGAAGACAAGAACCTTGCCCTCGGCGACATCAACGCCCCCGAAGCCTCTCACAGGGCTCCCGAGGGCGGTGTCATCGCTGGGCTGGAACAGGCGGCTGTCGATCTACGCCTTCAGATCCAACAGAATGCCCCCGATGCCCGCCTCGACATCGAGGCCAAGAAGAAAAACCGGAGCGATGACCAAGTCAGCCCTCCGGTTCTCACCATCGACGTACAATCGGCGCTCTCCGCCTTCATCCAAACGCTCACCCAGAACCCGGGTGCCTTCGGCACCCTGGCTCCAGCTCACCCTCAGATCGGGGAAAATATCATACTTCCCCCTCTGCCACACCCCTTCGGAAATCCCACCCCTCGGGTGAGAAACGACGAAGGGGTGGTGGCCCAAGATACGTCCTCCCAGGAAGTTCAGTCCCGGGACCGCCATAATGACAACAGGGAAAGGCCCCGTACTTCCGCCCTCAACCGGCTCGGAGGAGGGCCAGACCGCCGAGGGGTCCAAGACCGCCTCGGGGGGAAAGCGCTCCAAAGGCCCCAGGAAAGCGGAGGATCTGTTTCGAGGGCAGACGAGGAGCGTCCCCCTCGGGACAAAGGCAAGGCACCCCTTCATGCCAATGACGCTCGCCACCAGATCAACCAGGCCCACTCGGCCCGGGTTC